TGTTTTGTATTCTACATTTATTACTAGCTAATTGCAAACTTCAAAAAGCAAGAAGTGCTAACAGCAGTACGGTTTGGAGTGATATACAAAGTAGCCGTGTCAGCACTGAGTACAAATTCGAATAACCAATAAAAGTAGTTGTAAGTTGTAAAATCTTTCACAATACTTTCACCATCATCCCAGTACAGCATGCCAGTTGATTTGCCCGGACCTGAAGTGTGATATCGATCATGCAAAAACAAAGTTTCAATTCTAATTAGCACGAGAAAAGACGAATCAAATCATCCTAATTTAATTTCACCTCGTTATCCTGAAATTTTAATGCATAAATAATTAATCCTTTTTACGCTAATCTTTTCCCTTCATTCTCAGTGTATTAAAGCGCCGCTTTGTTGGAGGAAGCGGTACTCAAAAATAATAAGTTTTTAAATTCCCTCTATGAACTGCTCTGCTAAGTCATAGATTTTGAACATTTCCTAATTTACGAAAGTGTATTATATGTTTAGAAGTGAAATTCAGGAAAATTAATCTTTTTTACCAACTGAAATGAGCAATTCAAAAGGATTGTTTCTTGAATGAGTGGTTGTCATATTTGGCTTTTGTCGCGGTATCACAACACCTCCTGAAACGAAAAACATAATTTCATTCATTAATATTCTACTGGAAACTGCTCTTCTCAACAAATTTAATTTTTTTTTTGCTTTTGTCTTGAAAAGAAAAGTATAAGTAGTAAAGAATGGAACGTAGTTTTTTGCAACTGTTTTAACAAAAAAGCATTTGTGATGATTTCGAGAGTAAGAGGAACAAAAGTTAGAAATTGAACGAGTAGTCCACAAGATTTGTAGTTAGCGATAAAAAAGTGACTTCGTGATTTTCTCAAAATTTCTGATAAGTCACACCTTTAACAAAAACAGGGATAAGTTCATCCCTCGGTGCCCTGAATTCATTGTGGCCTGATTTTATCAGTGTGCCATAATCAGAATCTCGAAGAGAATACCATATTGCCGAGGGCAAATAACCAGACACAGACGTAGCGCCCTGGAAGATTGAGTACATTTCAGTTTACTGCTCTACTTTGATTTGAATGATTAGCAGAACTTACTGGTTGATATACAGGAATAATCATCATTGCATTTCCCCACATAAATTGTTCCCCGAGATCATGAGTTTCTGAGTCAGAAGTGAATTCAAAAAAAACTGGTCGAATAACAGTGCCGCCATATAATGAGACATCGAACAATAAGCTGAAGAATGAATTGCACCAAATAATTGGGTTTTTTGCAACAAAAGAACAAGAACAAGTAGACATTAACAAAAATCAAAGACCTATAGAGATATGGAAGGTAGTAATATCGGAAAAGATTAGCATTTCGAGTGGCTCTTGCAACATCTGGCCATCGAGATGGATCCTGGCTTGTTACACCTTTTTCGTTGTGATTCCTGGAAAATGATCACTTCCAGTTAGTTTTTAAAGACTTCATCTTTGGTTTTTAAAAGTAGCAAAGGTTAAACCTTGAGAAAGGATAAAATGCACCGAGTTGTTGCCATCGTAAACACAATTCCTCGGTTGTTTCTCCATTGAAACCGCAGATATCCGCTCCAATGTATGGCATACCAAACAAATTAAATTCTTGGATGCCAATAATGGAAGCTCTCAAATCAATCCAACGAGCACTATTGTCACCGAGCCAGTGGCCACCGTAATGACCCGAGGAAACAAATGTAGATCTGATATATAGAAACAAATCTGAATTCATCATACATGTTAACTATGTTGACTGTTTCACCCCGTTATGATGACCAAAGGTCAAAATTTCATTTACTTCATTACTCATTGATGAAATTCAACGTACAACTTACAATCTAACATACGTTTGTGAACAATTTATGCAGTTTGTACCAGTTTATCTACAAAAATTTGGGGAAATTTTGTAATCATATTTTTCTGAATCACAACATTTCACTAAATAATTATGACTATTCGATTCCCCGTCATTAAATGCCAATAAACTTCTCCGATCTGTACAAGCATATTACCAATTAGAGCCATTAAATTGTGAACTACTATCCTGTAAAGTCGATCGTTTTCATTTCAAAATTGATTTTCCTTTTTCAAATGTTAGTGAGACTAAGAGCAGTCTTCTTCATCTCTTTATCCACCTTTTTTATCCCAAATAATTGACTCTGCTTCATTTAGAGTCAACTTTCAGGCTCTTGTAAAAGATTGAAAAGAACCTGGATAAAATTAGACCTCGTTTCCCTGTTGCTGCATGCTGAGCCTTTTCAGTCGCTATCATTTCTGCT